GGGCCGAAGGGCCTGTACTGCGCTGTAATGTTCTATGTTCTATGTTCATTGTAACCAGACCATCAGCTTTGAGCTGAAGCGGTCTGCCTAAGATCCCAAAGGCTCCCAAGATCCAATAGCTCACCAAGGCTAATTTTCCACACTCTACATTTATATTCATGTGAATAAGAGGAGGCTACTGAGCCCATCAAACTGGTTCTACTGTTTGCTTATATAAGATATAGAGAACAAATAGAGATATTCAGTCCAACCAGTATATTATCCTGTCCTTTATCAGCAATAACGTGTTATTTTCTTCACCTTTGACTCTTATTTTGCCACCATTAAATACATCTACACTACTCACTGTCACCACTCTGTGGTAGTGCGTTCACCATTTGGGGATGTGGATAATACTGGCAAGCGCAGCATTTATTGCCCCTTCCTAATTACCCTGGCTCATGGTAAGTTCCCTTTTTGGAATGGCCTTTTGGGGTGGGGCCACTCTCCAGTGTTAGGAAGGGAGCTTGTCTGTGAGGCTGAATGGATTTAGTGTTGTGCAATGAGGTGCTAGAAAAACTGAATGCCCTGAAGGTGGATAAATAACCAGGACCAGATGGACTACACCCCAGAGTTTTTAAGGAGATAGCTGAAGAGGTAGTGGAAGCTTTAGTGGTGATCCTTCAGGAATCGCTAAAGTCAGAAAGGGTCCCAGAGGACTGGAAAATCACTAATGTGACACTCCTGTTTAAAAAGGGAATGGGGCAACAGACTGAAAATTACAGGCAGATTAGCCTGACCTCAGACATTGGTAAGGTATTGGAGTCCATTCTGATGGATGAGATTTCTGAATATTTGGAAGTGCATGGTAAAATAGAGCAAAGTCAGCACGGCTTCATCAAGGGGAGGTCATGCCTGACAAATCTGCTAGAATTCTTTGAGGAAGTAATGAGCAGGGTAGACCAAGGAGAGCCAATGGAGGTTATTTACCTGGACTTCCAAAAGGCCTTTGACAGGGTGCCACACAGGATGCTGCTGAGTAAGATAAGGGCCCATGCTGTTCAAGGCAAGGTGCTAGCATGGATAGAAGATTGGCTGTCTGGCAGAAAGCAGAGAGTGGGGATAAAGGGTCCTTCGCAGGATGGCAGCCAGTGACAAGTGGTGTTCCTCAAGGGTCAGTGTTGGGACCACAACTTTTCACTTTGTACATTAATGATCCAGCTGAAGGAACTGTGGGCATTCTGGCTAAGTTTGCAGATACAAAGATAGGTAGAGGGACAGGTAGTATTGAGGATGTGGGGAGGCTGCAGAAGGATTTGGACAGGTTAGGAGAATGGGCAAAGAAGTGACAGATGGAGTACAACATGGGAAAGTGTGAGGTCATGCACTTTGGTAAGAAGAATAAAAGCATGGACTATTTTCTAAATGGGGAGAAAATTCAGAAGTCTGAAGTGCAAAGAAACTTGAGAGTTCTCATCCAGGATTCTCTCAAGGTAAGCTTGCAGGTTGAGTCAGAGTTAGGAAGGGAAATGCAATTTTGGCATTTATTTTGAGAAGTCTTAAATATAAAAGCAGAGATATACTACTGAGGCTCTTTAACGCTCTGGTTGGGCCGCATTTGGAGTACACACACATGAATCTATGCAGTGAATTTATATTTGCAGATACATTCTATTTTGTTCAAAAAGCACACAGTTTCTAGACAATCAGTAAATATGGTGCTTTATAAATTCCTACTTTAGAAATAAGACCAGTCTGACTCCAAACTAAAACACTAACAGATTCTAAACAAGGTCTCACACCTAACATGCATTGCCTAACCTAAAATGTCACCTCTTCTTTACATTGATAAAACCTTTAGTTCTCTCAGGCCTGTGACTTGAAAGGAATTTAGGGATGTACATATAATTTTTAATCAATTAAAACCTTCTAACTGATTAAAGATTTAACAGCAAGCTTAGATTTGTTTAGTATATCCTCATCAATAGTGTGAACCTTTGATCTTTTACTTATAAATTTTGTGTCTGATACTACATCTGTCACTAACACCTGAAGAAAGAGAGAGGCTCTGAAAGCTTGTGTTTTCAAATAAACCTGTTGGATTATAACCTGGTGTTGAGAGATTTCTGACTTTGTCCACCCCAAGTCCAACACCGGCACCTCCACATCATGACACAAAGATAGGTGGAGGAATAGGAACTGTTGAAGAAGTGGCAAAGTTGCAGAAGAATTTGGACAGGTTAGAAGAGTGGGGAAAGAAGTGGCAGATGGAAGACAACATGGGAAAGTTTGAGGTTATGCACTTTGGTAGAAAGGATAGAGACATACACGATCTTGTAAATCGGGAAAGGGTTCGGAAGTCTGATAGACAAACGGACTTAAGAGTACTGTTTTAGGATTCGCTTAAGGTTAATATTGCAAGTTCAGTTGACAGTTAAGGCAAATATAATACTTGCATTCATTTCAAGAAAACTAGAATATAAGAGCACGGATGTACTGATTGCACAATGTTTAGCACATTCATGACGCTTCAGACACTGAAACAGTCCATGTTCAAATGCAATAAAATCTGGACAATTTCCAGACTTGGGCTGACAACTAGCGAATGACATTCATGCCACACAAATGCCAGGCTATGACCATCACCAATAAGAGACAATCTAACCACTGCCCCTTGACATTCAATGGTGCTACCGTCACTGAATCCCCCACTATCAACATCCCGGGGGTTACCATTGACCAGAGACTCAACTGGAATCGCCACATAAATACAGTGACTACAATAGCAGGCCAGGAAGCTGGGAATACTGCGGCAAGTAACTCACCTCCTGACTCCCCAAAGCCTGTCCACCATCTACAAGGCACAAGTCAGGAGTGTGATGGAATACTCCCCACTTGCCTGGGTGAGTGCAGCCCCAACAACGCTCAAGTAGCTTGACACCATCCAGGACAAAGCAGCCCCCACTTGATTGGCACCACATCCACAAACATCCACTCCCTCCATCACCCACACTCAGTAGCAGCAGTGTGTACGATCTACAAGATGCACTGCAGAAATTCACCAAAAATCTTCAGACAGCACCTTCCAAACCCACGACCACTTCCATCTAGAAGGACAAGGGCAGCAGATACATGGGAACATCACCCTCTACAAGTTCCCCTTTGAGCCAATCACCATCCTGACTTGGAAATGTATCTCCATTCCTTCACTGTCACTGGGTCAAAATCCTGGAATTCCCTCCCTAAGGGCATTGTGGGTCAACCTACACAGGTGGACTGCAGCAGTTTAAGAAGGCAGCTCCCCACCACCTTCTCAAGGGCAACTAGAGAGGGGCAAGAAATGCTGGCCCTGCTAGTGATGCCCACCTCCCACAAATGAATAGAAAAATAAATGTACTGCTGAGGTTGTACAAGGATCTGGTCAGACTGCATTTGAAATATTGTGAGCAGTTTTGGGCCTCGCATTTGAGAAAGGATGGAGCTCATAAGTTTGAAGGGGGGAATCACTCTCATTCTTATAAACTGCAGTGAGTAGAGTACCATCCTGTTTAGCTTTTCCTCCTAAGGCAATCCCTCCATACCAGGGTCATCCCAGTGAACCCTTTCTGAACTGCCTCCAATGAAATGATATCTTTCCTTAAATAAGGGGACCACAATTGTTCACAGTATCCTAGATGTGGTCTCACCAGCAGTTTGTACAGTTGCAGTAAGACTTCCTTACTCTTATACTCCAACCCCCTTGAAATAAGGGCCAACGTTCCATCAGCCTTCCTGATTACCTGCTGTACCTGTGTGCTAGCTTTCTGTGTCTGAAGCACAGGCTTAACAGGCAAATTAAATCCAGCTCCCAGTTGAATGTTGTCCTCTGTCACACTCCAGCCATACCACTGACAGTTTGTAACAACAGCTATAAACCTGCCCCCTTTAAGTACAGCATGGTATATTGGGAAGGAGGAGGAGCAATATGAAGAGAGAGAAAGTGCTGCACAGAGTGGGAAAGGGGGAAGGGGTTGTGGGGTGTTTGTGCATGAAACAGGTTAGTGTAATTGAAGGAGAAGGTGATAGTTCATGGGATGTAGCTCCATGCTTATGTCAATAATGCACAGTAATTCTAGATTGGGAGGGATGTAGGGGCTAGGTGAAGTTACAAAGATGGAAGGGGCGTGGGGGCTGGAGTGGGTGGCAGAGATAGGGAGGGGCGCGGGGACTGGAGGAGGTGGCAGAGATAAGGAGGGGCGTGGGGACTGGAGGAGGTGACAGAGATAGGAAGGGGTGCAGGGGCTGGAGGGGGTGGCAGAGATAGGGAGGGGTGCGGGGACTGGAGGGGGTGGCAGAGATAGGGCGGGGCATGGGGGTCAGATGGGGTGGCAGAGATAGGGAGGGGGAGACCTTTGAATGATTTGAACACAGTGTAGGAATTTAAAAGTTGGGGTATTGCTGGACTGGGAGCCACAAAGCTAAAGTTTGTTTCATTGATTTACAGGTGACCATGATCTGTCTGACCTCTACTTCCCGCATAGCGACCTTTTGTAAGAATCGGCGGATATTTCTGTCCAAATCCTTGCTACGATATTTGAGCACCTCAACTCCTTGGGGCATCACAGCAGAGCGGAATGTGCCCTCCAGCAAGTTTCTCAAACAGGATACATCAGCATCAAGCACCCCAACTAAGCCACTGCCAAAGCATGCTGATGTGGTGATCATGGGAGGTGGCAGCCTGGGATGCCACACCTTGTACCATTTGGCAAAAATGGGCATCACCAACGTGGTCCTGCTCGAACGAGACCAGCTGACATCTGGGACCACATGGCACACTGCTGGTAAGGATGGTATTGGACAGACTGACAGCTGTGGGGAGTGGGGGAGTCAGGAGGATGAGGAGTGCATGTCACAGGGAGAACATTGCTCCAGTGAAGTCAGGTCATTCAGCACCTCAATAGCATTTGTTTTAATCATGGTGGATCTGTATCGTAACCCTGTCTCTCCCCAACACCACCCAAAAAACAGTACCCAGCAATCCCAGGTTTGACATTTTCAGTTGATCCCCAAACTCAGTTGCATTATTGAGCAGGTGGGGGATGGGAGAAAAGAGCTCCAGATTCCCAATCCTGTTTGTTTGAGGAATTGCTTCCTGACAGCCCAGCCCACAGTTTAAGGTTCTGTCCCTTGTCCTGGATTTCCCTCAGGCCATGAACTGGTTTCTTTTTATTGAGTCCTTCAATCATCTTTAATCTCTTGTTTTGACACACCCTGCCCACCATCAAAACAAATCTTCCCGCTTGAATACAAGTTGAATTTGTGCGAGTCTATCATGTAATTAAACCCCCAAACCTTGGGAGCATCACACTTTATCAGTCTGCTTCCTTCCTAAGTCTGATATGTTTCTGGGTAGCATTATTCAGAATTGAACACATGAATGTCACCTTCTTCCCCCTCCGTTATTTTGTCTGGGTATTTCTGATTTCTGCAGGTCTCCTATGGCAGTTACGGCCCAGTGACACAGAGATTGAGCTGCTCAAGCACACCAGGGACGTTGTCAGTAAAGACCTTGAGGAGGAGACTGGGTTACACACTGGTTGGATTGAAAATGGTGGCCTCTTCATAGCCTCCAACAAGCAACGACTGGATGAATACAAACGCCTCATGTCGGTGAGCACCAGCATTAGGCAGGGGTTGAACATATACTGCCAGGAGCAGACCTTTCAATGTTGGTTTGAGATGCACATGAGTTAGTGTCTGCGTGTGAATTTCTAAACTTCCCTTGACCAAACAGTTTGAAACTATTGGAAAGTTTATGGATACCAACAGGAGCAGAATGCAGGGGCCAGTGAGAGTAATTTTTTTCTCCTTCGTTCATGGGATGTGAGCATCAATAGCATTTATTGTCCATTCTTACTTGCCCCTTGAGAAGGTGGTGGTGGGCTGCCTTCTTGAACTGCTGCAGCCCATGTGCTGTAGGTTGACCCACAATGCCCTTTGGGAGGGAATTTCAGGATTTTGACCCAGCAACACTAAAAGAACGGCGATATATTTCCAAGTCAGGATGGTGAATAGCTTGGAGGGGAACTTGCAGGGGGTGGTGTTCCCATGTATCTGCTGCTGTTGTCCTTCCAGATGGAAATGGTTGTGGGTTTGGAAGGTGCTGTCTAAGGAGCTTTGGTGAGTTTCTGCCGTGCATCTTGTAGGTGGTACACACTGCTGCTACTGAGTGTCAGTGGTGGAGGGAGTGATTTTTTTTTTTCTATTCATTTCTGGGATGTGGGTGTCACTGGCTGGCCAACATTTCTTAGCCATCCATAGTTCCCCTGAGAAGGTGGTAGTGAGTTGCCTTGTTGAACCACAGCAGTCCTCCTGCTGTGGGTTGACCCACAATGCAATTAGGGAGGGAACACTTGTGGATATAGTGCCAACCAAGTGGGCTGCTTTGGCCTGGAGGTGTAAAGCTTAGAATCATAGAGTCCCTACAGTGTGGAAACAGACCCTTCAGCCCAACGAGTCTACACCGACCCTTGGACCATCCCACCCAGACCCATCCCCCTATAACCCACCTCATCTACACATCCCTGAACACTACATGCAATTTAGCATGGCCAATCCACCTAACCTGCACATCTTTGGACTGTGGGAGGAAACTGGAGTACCTGGAGGAAACCCATGCAGACACAGGGAGAATGTGCAAACTCCTCACAGACAGTCGCCCGAGGGTGGAATTGAACTCCCGTCCCTGATGCTGTGAGGCAGCAGTGCTAACCACTGAGCCATCGCGCCACCACGCCACCCCCTTCTTGAGTGTTGTTGGGGCTGCACCCATCCAGTCAAGTGGAGAGTATTCCATCACATGTTCCTTGTAGATGGTGGACAGGCTCTGGATATCTGAGGTGAATTACTCATTCCAGTATTCCTAACCTCTGACCTGTTCTTGTAGGCATTGTGTTCATGTGGTGAGTCCAGTTGAGAATGTGGTGAATGGTAACCTCCAGAAAGTTAATGGTAAGGTATGGTGGTTAGATTAACTCTTGTTAGAGATGGTCATTGCCTGACATTGTGTGATGTGAATGTATAGCTGTGGACACTGCGGCAATGGGTGCCATGGGGTAGGTGGGAGCCGCAGGAGCAATGATTTGGGGTGTTGGGGCTTTTTGGTAAGGCTGGGCGAGGGAGTAACCATGGGCCTTGGTGCTGCCCTTGTTTCTGAGCCCTCATTCCATCCCTCCTGAGGGCTACTGATTGAGTTATTACTTACTAGTTCATTTATTCAGTGATGTAGTAGTGTCATATCATCTTTTGTAGTTGTGTTGGCATATGAGGGATTTGGACTGTCATGAGCAGAATTAGAATAATGTATCAACATCCTCAATCATTACCAACTCTGTATTAAATTTACCACTTCTTTTCAGTGTTGTAGCTTAGACACCACAGTATTTTAGTTAGCATAAGTTGCAAAGGTGTTTTCATCAAAATGGGCATCCATCACTCTAAGCACACTTTCCACACGGTGGTAATGTCACACAAATGCTTCCCCATGTCACATACACAAAGCTGAAATAAAGGCCGTCATTGTAACCTCAACTACATCTCATATCCCAATCTAACAATTGGCACAGTGTTCATTTAAAATATCATCCACTATATTCCCCCATCACACCCAAAAATGGTAGCTCATAAACACATGCTACCTTAAGCTAGAGATTCCACATTTATTTACAAGCAATTTATTACTTTTGTTTTCTTGGCTCTTCATTTTCCTTCCCTCTCTGCTGACCCATCCCACCTTCTTCCCCAACCCCTCACCCTCCTTCCCTGTCTGTCCTGCTTTCCCTCCCTCCTCTGTCCCACCCCTCCTCTCTCTCCCCTTCCCTCCCTCCTTCCCCTCTCTTTCACTCCCTCCTCCTCCCATCCTCTGTCTCTCCCTCCTGTCCTTCCTCCTTTGCCCCTCCCTTGCAATTTGCCCTGATGATTGGAAGATAAAAAAGCCGTATCTTTTTCAGCAGTACTCAAGATCTGTTGCACCAAGCACCTGTTTGACTTTCAGGATGGTTACAGTGCAGAAGGAAATTTTGTGTGTTCAGTTTTACAATTGAACTTAGTTTATTATCATTCCCACCATCTCCCTGTCACCCTGCACATTGATCCAAATCTCTCAACCTCCATCCCTGACCCCACACACTCACTTTGGGAGAAACTACCCCTGAAGTTGCCTTTCATTCTTTTACTAATCATCTTTGTTTCTGTGTTCCACTTCTGATCCCTACTCTCACTTTCACCATCAGCCGTAAAATTAAAGGTTGGTTATTGATTCAATATTTTGACTTTGGTTTTATCATGCTCTTCTCCTGTATTCCCCTTTCTAAACTTTCTTGTTTTTTTAATCCCATTATGAAAACTCTCACTAGATCTTTTCGAATCAGCAGCCTCCTTACCAACCTCTCTGTTTTCTTTGTGATATTTAAACAGGAACCTCATTTGTTTAACCACCAGGTTCACTTTAATCTATTTGCTGCACCATTCAGTTCACCTTTAGGCCAATATTCATTTTGTCCATTATACTGGGCAAGTCTTTATCTGTACCTTTGTGTAAAACCTCTCGGTGTTGTTCACTATTTACCAATTCTCCTATTGTCACACCACTTGTTTGCTTTGTTTCATTTTACAAACGTAAATAAGGAATAGTTTCAATGAATTTAAATAAAGGCTGTGGGTGTTGAGGTTGGAGTAAGATTTATTGGAAAAGGTGGCGCTAAGCTGCCTTCCTGAACTGCTTGAGTTATTGGTTACACCCACAATGCCGTTAGGGAGTGAATTCCAGGATTTGACTCCATGACAGTGAAGGGAAGGCAATATATTTCCAAGTCAGGATGGTGAGTGACTTAGAGGCTTAGAACTTGCAGGGAGTAGTGATCCCATTGTACCAGTTGCCCATGTCTTTCTTAATGTCAGCCTTGGCTAATTAATAACACATTTATCTCTCAGCCAGGAGTTCATGCATATTCCAAATCCAGAACTCAGAGCATAGAAAAAGGCAGAGATACCAAAGTAGTGCCACACTGTCGGAGGGTCAGTGCCGAGGGAGCGCCGCACTGTCGGGGAGCCAGCGCCAAGGGAGCACCGTGCGGTCGGACGGTCAGCGCCGTGATGTTGGAGCATTACCCCTCGACAGTGAGGCACTCCGTCAGCACTGACCATTCGACAGTGTAATGCTCCCTTAGCACTGACCCTCCTTCAGTGAATTGCTCCGTCAGTATTGACCCTCCAACAGTGCAGCACTTCACTGAAGCGTCAGCATGTAATGTGTTACCAAGTCTTAAGAGTTTGCCTTGAGCTGATGAGGTTACTGCTCACACTGTCAAAACCTCACACAAAGCCTAATCTGTAGCAGAAGATATTGAACCCATGGGATCACATCGGGGTGAGAGTGGGTGTCAGTTTATGAAGTTGGGCTTTAGAAACCGGGATAAACCACTCAGTCCCTGGGGCCTTCTCAGCCATTCAATAGGACCAGGGCTGATCTGATTACTCCATGTTCCTGCCTACCCCTCACTGATGAAGAACCTACCATAAGATTAATCAAACACATTGCTTCAATGGCCTTTTGAGGAAGAGAGTTCTCAGTGGAAAGAGACTCCTGACCCTGTTGGGTAAAATTTCACCTCATCTATTTTGAATGGGTTGCTCCTTGTAAAATCATACAGTACGGAAGAGGCCTTTCAGCCCATCAGGTATGCACCACCAAAAACGACCTGAAATCCACACGAGTCCCATTTTCCCATCCTCAGCCCATAGCCTTGAATGTTATGACATTCCAAATGCTCATCCAAGAACTCAAAAGTTGTGAGGTTTCTGCCTCAATTATCTTCCGAGGTGGTGCATTTCAGATTCCCACCACCCTCTGGATGAAACCTTTTTTCTTGAAACCCCCTCTAAATTCTCCTGCCTTTCACCTGAAAATTATGTCCCCCTATTATTGAAACTTCAACTCAGTGGAACAGCTGCTTTCTATCTACCCCCATAACTTTCAGGTCCCCCCCCTCAATCTTTTCTGCTCCAAGGAAAACAAGCTGAGTGTAACCAGCCTCTCTGCATAGTTAAACTGCTCCATCTCAGGCAATATCCTGGTGAATCTCCTCTGCACCCCCTTCAGTGCAATCACATCTTTCCTATTTTGCAGCAACCAGAACTGCACACAGTACTCCACCTGTCGTCCTAATCAAAGTTTTGTACATCTTCACTGTGACTGCTTTTATCAGCCCTGGCATAGATTATAAGTGTCCCATATGCCTTCTTAACTATCCTATTAATCTGCTGTGCCACAGTCAGGCAGTTGTGGATAAACACCCCAAGACTCCTCTTTAAATTCATTCACGGGATGAGGGTGTCACTGGCCAGGCCAACATTTATTACCCATCCCCAACTGCCCAGAGGACAGTTAAGTGTGAGCCACATTGTTGTGGGTCTTTTTAAACAGTAATGTCTAGTTCTCAATTCTCCCACAAAAGGAAACTTGCTGTCTTCCTTGATCTTGTCAAGACCCCTCAGTGTCTTATGATTCAGTCAAGTTGACTCTTATGCTTCTAACTCCAGTCTGTTCAATCTTCCCTCCCAAAATATTCTCGACATCCTCCCTCTCCCTAAATCCAGGTATGCATCCAGTAAACCTCCTCTGAACTGGTTCCAACACATGTTTAAGTGAGGACACCAACATTGTGCACACTATTCCAGATATGGTCTTACCAGTGCCCTGTAAAAGTGAGGCATGACTTCTCTAGTTTCATACTTAATTCCCCTCATAATACGTGAGAACATTCATTTTTTGTTTTCTAATCAACCTGTTCAGAGATTCTATCACAAACCTCTGGGGCAAGTGGGACTTGAACTGAAGCCTCTTCCGGAGGTCAGGACACTATCACTATGCTCCTTCTGCTGCACCTAGTATTCCAAGGCAGCCTCCCATCCAAGCACTAACCAGGCCTGAGATCAGTCATTTTGATACTGGTATGCCATGGGCAAGAACATTCTAGCAGTTTTCCTTATTACTTGCTGTACCTGCATGCTAAGCATTTATGATTTAAGCTATCAGACACCCAGATCCCCCTGCATCTCAGAGCTCTGCAATCCCTCAGTATTGAGATGATTTGCTTTTTGTTTTATTTTTCCTGCCAAAATGGACAATTTTACATTTTCCCACAAAATGTTCATTTGGCCAAATCTTTGCTCACTCATGTCACCTATCTGTATCGCTTTGAAACTTCCTTCTGTCCTCTTGACAACTTAGTGTCCCACCAGTTAGCAGTTGTGTGGCGCTTGAGAGGGTGGGACAGATAGTGCACTTTGAGCAGTCGAAACCTGAAGCATGGAACAGCTGAGAGAAAATGTGCCAAGGTGTCCAAGGCCTGCTTCCATCAAGAATGTAGGCTTTCATTCACCGGCCTCTGCTTGACCATTTGGAGCTTGTCTATCAAAGATTTGAGCTGTTAATTGTAGCACAAAACCCAATCATTCTAAATTTCACACAAGTACATATTGTAGCCAAAAGATGAACGTAATAATTAATCATTCTCTATATTTGCAGGAGCACTGGCATCATGCATTGTTTAAATTGATTCCTAAATAAACTCTTACCCAAGTAACAAGGTCAGAACAACTCCCAAAAAAACAAGGTTCAATATCCCAGGCTGATGTCACCAATGACATCAGCTCAAAGAACCTGTGTGAGGGCAGAGTGAGAATTCAGGGTTATTACAATCCCACAACAGACAGCCAAGTTTCAGATACAGTGTGGCTATGGATAAGTAATACAATCCACAACACCGGTAGAATTGATTTCTAATACCCAGAATGAACATGGTGTAAATCTGGATACGATTTATACTGTGAGAGAATGGGCGCAGTGCAGGACAATGTAGCAAATGAAATCAATACAGATCTTTTGAATTTCTCAGTAATTTCCCCAGACATTGATATAATCCAGTATCAGTGCTGAGTTTCTCACTGTCTGAGAGTCAGTGCTGAGGGAGCGCCGCACTGTCGGAGGGTCTGTACTGAGGTAGTTCCAC